AGGAAATCAGGAAGGAGGAACGCTGCGCATTTCTTTGAAATTTAACAAGATGATAAGCATCTAAAACAATTATTTATTTGCTCGACATTATAGCAAAGGTGTGGCTCAGTTGAACTTTTACTTAATAAATGCAGTTCAATAGTTAAATTAGCGTCATTTCGCCGGGGCGGCGCAACAAAATGAAGCTGATTTGACGGTTGCTCCAGGCGAGCTGGAAGAAGGAGACAGTCTATGGCAAGCCGACTGTGTCATTAATAGTCACTTTTACACATTACATGACAACGACATGCCATACTAGTTGAGTGCCATCTAGTAATTGAAAATGTTAGTGTTCAATATTTTCAGTCAGAATGAATGAAAACGGTCATATCTCAGACAAAAATTTGTTTATAAATATGGAAAAAAATCCATAAATACGTCACTTTGGCCTATAAGTCGCAGGGCATGCAAATTATGCAAAAAACTGCGACTTATAGGCCCAAAAATACGGTCTGTGATAGGGTAATTTTTAAGTCATTTTCTTCCCATTTTATTTTATTTTTTACAAGAAAATGATTTGCATGGCTTACAATGCATTTCTGCAAGACTTCCACTCAAACAAATTTAAGTGATTCCCACAGACTGTGCAAAACATACTCTGTTTATGTCAGTCAGAACATTTGTGCTGTTTTTGCACTATCACCAAAAATTAAAATGGAAAGCATTGACTGTGCGGGTTTTTCTACATTTTACAATTAACATTCGTCTGTTTTACCTCTGTCAAATATTTGTAACGAGCATGACATGTTTCTACCATTCCAGGCAGCGAACGTTGTAAGCCTCAAGACTGTTGGTGGTTTATTCCAGGGATTTGGTTTCATTGCAAACTGATCAGTTTGAGATTAACAAGATTTGACAAAGCTCTTGGCCTAAAAAAGCACACCCTCTCGAAAAAACGTTTGCTGATGCCCCAGAGGGCACTTTGATTCCCTCTGTCCTCTTGCCAGCTCACTTCATGCCTTGCTCTGCTGTCATTGATGTGAAAATCAGTCTACAGATACAGGAACATCAATGTTGATGCATGCGCCTGTTTACTGGCTTTACACACCTGCTCATTTATATGTACGTGCTCATGTGTGTGTGTCTGTCTTATCCTTGTGTGGTTGTATTTTTTATTTTTATGCTTTATTCTTCCTTGTCCATTGAACCTCCTGTGCAGTTGGGTTATATCCCACAGATGAAAGGAACGGAGGCTTTTTTATCTACGCAGCACATTTAAATTGTATGAGCTTATTATTGTGCTGCGACTTAGATTATTTTTTTATTGATCTTATTTTTCTGCTGTATATACAGCATTACATTTACTATAAACTATCCAAGTAATGTGTAAAAATAAGTCTAAAATTACTTTACGATCCTGAGTGGCCTTAGCTCATGAAAGACCAAAGCCTGAGTATCCATGACAACGCCAAGACTGGATCCACTCTTGGCCATTGACTCGTCTCAGTCAGCGCTGAGTGCTAAGGGAAGAAGAAGAAGAAGAGATAAGGATAGATTCAATTCAATTTGCTCTGAATGGCTGGCCCTCATGTAAATGGAACAAGTAGGTTACACAGTGAGCCACACAGGATGGAAGGTCCTAATAAATAGACTGAAAAGTAAAAGTGAGAGTGGAGAGTTGTGTTGTTATACCCAAGTACTCTTAAGCCCCATTTGCACGGGATTCATTTTACCTGGGGACCACATGTAATAAATAAATTACTCTCCAGCGTCTGCTTTTTATGTGGCGTATTCGCACGGGATAACCAAAGCCTGAGATGTAGCTGAAATTTACGACATCTTCCGGATATGATGTTAACGCTTCAAGTTGCGTTAAGCTCAGATGGACAACCTGTCACTGGCCGTGCACGTCTCCTGACTTGCCTGTTGAAATGGACTTGCGACCTGTCCAGGGTGTCCCCCACATTTCGTACAGCGATAGCTGGACATGGGCACCAGCGACCCCCGCTACCTGAAAAGGAAGAAGCGGGTAAATATAATGGATGGATTGATGGATCAGCTGATCACCGGCTGCGCGCGTCTCCGCACCTGCTGTCATCTGCGGTGAAGGAAGTAGCAGCATCTACAAAAGCTGAAGCGAGCAGCGCGTTCATTTAAAATAGCCTTGTTCTGTATTTTTCCAAATTATTTTTCTTAGAAAACAAACAAACAAAAACCTGCCTAATTACGTATCGGGTCCCTCTCATTTCTGCCTATTTGCATTGGATTAGTATTATCACAGGACCTCGGAGTTCAGCAAAATATAGTTGGTAATTTGCCGGGAAATTTTTATTTTACAAATTACTGACATGGCCGATTCGCACGGGATTAACAACACAGACAATCTCCGTAATTATTACAAATAGCATGTGGTCCCTAGGTAAAACTAATCCCCTGCGAATAGGACTTTTGTCACCAGAAACATGACTACTTCAGTGATTTCCCTTTATTTGTTTATTTAATAAAAACAAGAACTATGTTCTGCAAGAAAAAAAATTAAAAAAAATTTCTGTGTACTAACATAATATAAGATTTGCTCTTTTAATTATTCTTAATGTTTAATCCAGCTTGCAGTAGATTTATTCCATTGTTTACTTAAAATGTCAAGGATCATATTGTTGAATTGCACAACGGGAAGTAATACGGGACTTTTCAGACTTGGAGCAAACTAAAAATGAGCAATGAGATTTAGTGGTGCCCACACATTCTGCACAACTCCTGAACACCTGTGGGTGTGTAGGCTGAAGGTTCACTTTAGGACACATCTTAATGTTACTTAAGAAGAAGAGAGCAGGTGTGTTTCTTATTTTTTTCTGTACCAGACATGATGATCCAACTGTTTCTAAACCAAAAGCTATTTCTATCTGTGTCTTATTAGTCAGACAGAAATAATCCCTTGTGTACACTTCTCTTTTGGAGATGTACATTTTCTGCATAAAGGTGATGTATTGTTGTTTACAGGTGTTTGGAGGTGGAGGTGTATATTTTAGTCCAGAATATCTCGTTTATTTAGGAGACACATACATTATTTGTCTTTTTGCCATACAATATTAAACATTTTAAGGGGATTTTCATTATTTTCATTATTTTATTATTTCTTAGTTTTTTAGTAACATACTTTCAAGAAAGTGTTTCAGCACTCTGAACATTGAAACTCTTTCACATACCTCAACTTTCTACTGTTTTTGATCCTTCACTCAGTCTCTATCCTCTGGTGTCAGATTGTGGTCTTTAATTTAGCCAAGCAGGATCAAGGGATGGCTTTTACTGGACTTTGTGAAACTGATACTGTAAATTATAAAACAAAACAAACAAACAAACTCCTTAAGTTTACTCTCTTTTTTTTGTCCAGTTTTAAATGTATGAAAAAGCATTAAAACATTTATTTTTTTTAACTAAATATATATTGTAGTTAAAAAAAAAAAAAGAAAGGAAATGTGTGTCTTAAAACAGTTGATTTGTTTGATTATTGGTATTAGAATTGGCCTTTTAAAACTTCCTAGTAACTGAAATTACAATTGTAATACTGATTGTCAGTGACAAAGTAGTTTTTTTTTCTTTTGTTCTGCCCCATTACATTTTGTATTTGGGTGGGCATTGGTTAATTTCATGTTGTATAATTTCACCTATGCACGTCTTTTATCTAAACTTTCAATCTCACAAATCATTTGATATAAAATTCATTAAAAAGTCTTTATTTGATCCAAATGCTGCTGCCAGAGTTTTGACGAGGGTTGGTAGGAGAGATCGTATTTCTCCAGTTTTAGTTTCTCTCCATTGGCTCCCTGTCAAGTCCAGAATAGAATTCAAAATCTTACTTCTAACCTACAAAGCCCTCAACAACCTAGCTCCATCTTGTATTACAGATCTTCTTGTTCCATTTTTTCCTAACAGATCACTTTGCTCTCTGACTGCAGGTTTACATGTGGTTCCTAGAGTTTCCAAAAGTAGAATGGGAGGAAGAGCTTTCAGTTATCCGGCTCCTCTCTTGTGGAACCAACTTCCAGTTTCTGTCTGTAAGGCTGACACATTGTCCAGATATAAGATTAGGCTTAAATCTTTCCTTTTTGATAAATCCTATAGTTGGGGTCGACTTGGGTTTCCTGAGCTATCCCTTAGTTATGCTGCTGTAGGCTTAGATTGCTGGAGGACAAATTGACCACATTTCCTCACTCTGCTGCTGTATTTACTTGCTCTATTCCACCTGTTTGTATTTACAATTATTTATTTCCATAACATGCATTTTATGTCTTTGTTCCAATAGAAAGTACACCTGAACCTGTCATTCTATGTTTGTTGTCTCTCCTTCCTGTCCTCTCAAACCCAGCCGATCGAAGCAGATGGCCGCTCGCCCTGAGGCTGGTTCTGCTGGAGGTTTCTTCATTTTAAAAGGGAGTTTTTCCTTTCCACTGTTGCCTTTGTGCTTGCTCAGGATGGGAGACTGTGATGAAGTGAAGATTCACTCAATCTGCTGCTGCATTCCTCAGCCATCTGTCTGTCCGTCCGTCCGTCCGTCCGTCCGTCCGTCCGTCCGTCCGTCCGTCCGTCCGTCCGTCCGTCCGTCCATCCATCCATCCATCCATCCATCCATCCTCTTCCACTTATTCCGAACTCGGGTCGCGGGGGCAGCAGTTGGAACAGGAAGGCCCTGACATCTCTTTCCACAGCTTCCTCTTCCAGCTCTTCTGGGAGGACCCCAGGCCATTCCCAGACCAACCGAGAGATAGTCTCTTCAGTGTGTCCTGGGTCTTCCCCGGGGTCTCCTCCCAGTTGGATATGTTCGAAGCACCTCCTGATATAGATAACTTTTACTAATTGTCTTTTTTCATGTGCGTGAATGTTTTTGTACACTGCTCTGAGACGACTTCTGTTGTGACTTGGCACTTTATAAATAAACTGAATTGAAATTGAATTGAATTTAATATAAAACAATAAATGAATAAAAATTTGATAAGGCACTGCTCATCTCTTTATCTCTGTAGGTGGAGGAGGTGGTTGATGTTGGGACGTTTGCTGCAGAGGACATCCACATACCCAGTATCTATGTCCACAGGATTGTTCAGGGAGCCAGCTACGAAAAAAGGATTGAGGTACAGAACAAACTTACCAAAGAGGCATCTGAGTACAAAATGTTATCTTTTACCAAATGTTGAATACTTCTTTGAACTCAAGCAAGTCAAACAACTTGAAAACCAATCTAATCACTTTATTTATTAAGCCTAAAAATGACCAGTCAGAAAATACACCATCAAAATTGGAATATATTTCCTATAAATATAAAAATTTACAACATAAATTGGGTTGCTTTTTTAATGGTTAATGATTTGGCATTTTCACCATTGGGCAAAATGGGAGATAAACAATATTGAAAAATAAACGATAAGATTCTTAAAGTTGATCAATTTAGTGAGGTATAGATTTTCTAAGAAAAGCTTTACTTCTGTATTTTGTTGTTGAAAGCAGTAAACCAAGTTTACTGATAGTATGAAGATATGTATTTTGTTTTAGTGTGGTCAGAAACTGGTATGAAGTTCATTACATAAACTTTGAAAATTGGGTCAGTTCTGATTGTTAGAGCATCAAGGAGGGGTAGTTGTTTTTACAGTGTAGAAGAATGGTTGTACAAACTTTTCACATAATTTTATCTGGTTGATTTAAATGTCTGTTTTACATTATTTATTGTTTACATTCCACAAGACAGACATTAGCCAGTAGCTAAATCTGGTACCATGTACATTTTTTAATATATCTATGTGCATGGTCTTTCATAAAACCCTAAAAAAATAAATAAAATAAACCTGCCAGAGCTAACATAAGTGAAAAGGTTGCATATGTAGCATATGATGCTTTCATTTTATATTGTGTCTGCATTATGCTGCTTCAATGGTCATTGTTACAAAAAAAAAAAAAAAATCCAGTGTAATGAAAACAGCTGGCTGGGGTTCATTTTACAGAACCACATATTCAGTGTTTTATCTACATGTCCTTGTGCTTGGTTAGAAATAGACCAAGATGCTATCATGTTGTTTCTCACTAATCTCTATATCTTTCCAGAAACGTACAGTGAGAAAAGGACAAGAGGAGAAGCCTAAGCCAAAGAAAGATTCAGACATTGTTCGGGAAAGGATCATTCGCAGGGCTGCTCTAGAATTTGAAGATGGGATGTATGGTATCCTTCTGCTAGGACACAATCAATAAGCAAATTACAAAGTCATATACATTTGTTCCTTATCTAGCTCTCTCTTAATTACAAGTAAAAGCAGAACAAGCTAAGCCACACATAAAAAGAACTCTGAATCATGACCAACCTTATTTAAATAATTATAGTCTTTGCACCAGTTGATTGCAGAAAAAAAAAGCAGATTTCTTTTGTATGGTTTTGCATTTACATGATGTAGTCAAAGCGTTTGTCCATCTTGAAAGCAGCATTATAATTTCAGTGATTGGTCTTTGATTAGCCACCTCTCAGATAAATTAATCTGCCTTGAAATATTTAGTATTTTGAAACCATTAGAACTTGCATTTTATGCGAGACAGAGCATCAGCTGCAGAGTTAATGATTGTGTTTTTACACCATATTTTCATGACCGTGCACCAATGTACATGTTTTAATGGGTCAAAGAGGAAGCTACAAATGCATTATTCAACCTCATGCTGGTCTCTTTATCGTAATACTTGACTTACTTCATGAACACAAATTAAGTAATTGTTTTTTTTAACACATAAACTATCAGCTAACCTCGGTATTGGTATCCCCATGCTGGCCAGCAACTTCATAAAACCAGACATTACTGTTCATCTCCAAAGTGAAAATGGACTTTTAGGACTGGTAAGAAATCTACAGTTTTCTCCACTGCTTTTAGTTTTAAATAGCATGGATAATCATTCTGACAGCAGTAAAGAATATGAAACAAAATTATGCTTTGAGCTTATGGCAAAGTGAATAGCCATTCATTTGAGCGAGACCATTGCTAGTTAGGACTCCATTCTGATATGTTCTAGGTTTATAATATAACAGACTGTGGCAGTTTGACATTTTTGTTGCATTTTTTTTTTTTTTGCTCCCTATCATTCTTTTGCTGCTTGAGCCTTTTTAACAAAAGCAGCTGAAGCTGCTGTGGGATGATTCTCCAATCAGTTTTGTTGACAGAAGGATGTAGGCGTCTATGCAAATTTTTTTTATTTGTCTAAGCTTTCTTTAATTGCAAGTCCAAATTCCTGAGAGGTGCTGATCTCATCTACCTTCTTCTCTCCTCTTTGTCTAAGGATTGTTCTCTTTGTTGAACACAGGGAAAAATCAATGTCTCATCTAATCAGAGAAATGTGATTGTCTCTCCCTTGAAAGACCATGGCCAGTCAGAATGATTGACATGTGTGAGTCGATGTATGGCTGAATGCTTCTGTGAACACTCATGATAGATTATTTGTATTTGGGTAGGGGCCGTACCCCACAGAGGCCGAAGTGGATGCAGATCTGATAAATGCTGGTGAGAGTACTCCTGATCAATTCCTCAAGTGAAAAACTTGTATATTAAACAAAATACTTTTATAAAGAATGGGAATGCTATTTTATGGATAGAGTTTACAGATAAAATATGACTACAGTTTAAAAATCTTTGCAAAGATGTAGTCTCTGCCATGGTATGGTAAACGTTTTAGTTTATTAGTTGACTTATTTTATATTTAAGCTTTCATGTTCTATTATTTATCTGTTTTGTTCTGATGCTTATGCAATAACTTACTTTCTTTTAAATGTGTTTCGTGGTATTAACTTGTCTGTTCTAATAAATTAATTTCAGTACTTTTATGTTCATTCCACAGGGAAGGAGACTGTAACTGTGCTCCCTGGAGCTGCGTATTTCTCCAGTGATGACTCATTTGCCATGATCCGTGGGTAAGACTATAACAAACAATCTTTAAAAACTTGTTTCCAGATTCAAAGTTAAATATGCATGGCATTTAAAAGGAATTTGCAGTTAGTAAATCCACTGAATATCTTTTGTGAGGCATAGAGTCACCTCACAGACTGCAGTTAATGCAGAAATCAAGAATGAAAGCACACATTTTCCCCTAAATAAATTCCTCCTCACTTCCTCCTATTTCTTCTCTAACCCATAATCAGGATTTGACCGCAGGATATAGTGAGGATGTGGAACCTTGGATATTAACAAATGACTGCTGTCACCAGTACAACAAGACAGTGGCCTTGTCAATATACGCCATGTCTCTTGTTTTTATTGATTTACCTGCTGACAGATATTGCCCACCCGTGCTCCCTGCAGCATTAGTTTTGTTTGTCCACCCAGTAGAAATTCAATAGTGGTCATAAACTAAGCTGTCCTGTTGCACTGGCTCAGGATAATGGAATCACACTGAATTTGTGGACTGGTTTTTCAGCTATTGTGTGGACACAAGAGTATAGTGGTATATGCACTGAACAAAAATATAAACGCAACACTTGTTTTTACTTCCATTTTTCATGCGCTAAACATGCATGCAGTCTGCCATCTGCCCTGTACAGTGAAAAACGGGATTCATCCATGAAGAGAACACCTCTCCAATGTGCCATACGCCACTGAATATGAGCATTTGCCCACTCAAGTTGGTTACGTTGACAAACTGCAGTCAGGTGGAAACGCTGATGAGGACGACAAGCGTGCAGATGAGCTTCCCTGAGACAGTTTCTGACAGTTTGTGCATAAATTCTTTGGTTATGCTATTCGATTGTTGCAGCAGCTGTCCGGGTGGTTGGTGTCAGACTATCTTGGAAGTGAAGATGATGAATGTGGAGGTCCTGGGCTGGTGTGGCTACATGTGGTCTGTGGTTGTGAGGTCTGTTGGATGTACTGCCAAATTCTCTGAAACACCTTTGGAGACGGCTTGGAGACGGTTGACCATGAGGACAGTAAAGTGTCAGAAGACAGCGGGAGAAGAGGAAAGTCAAGAATGTAGGACTGAGCATGGCAACTCTAAACGTGGGGACAAGGACAGGCAAAGGTAGAGAGCTGATTGACATGATGCAGAGAAGGAAGGTAGATATTTTACTTGTCCTTTACTTGTCCATTCCAAGAAATGAAGTGGAAGGGCAGAAAGGCTTACAACATTTGAGCAGGGCTTAAACTGTTTTACCGTGGTGTGGATAGAAAGAGAAATGGAGTAGAGGTGGCCCAGAAGGAGGAGCTGGCAACGAATATAATCGAGCTGAAAAGAGTGTCGGATAGGTTGATGTGTCTCAAGGTAGAAGTAGGTCTGCTGCTAAATTATTTCAATGTTGACAGCTGTTGTCTTGTCTTGTCATTCTCTTAAAGGGGTCACATCAATCTGACAATGCTGGGAGCCATGCAGGTGTCAAAATTTGGAGATCTGGCCAACTGGATGATCCCTGTAAGTTTAGTTTACATGACCCACATGCGTACTTTCTTAGTTTGATTGTGTTGGCTACACATCAGAAAAGCAGACATGCTCTTAATAATTATTTTAGAAAAAAAAGATCAGTTTTCTGTAGAAGTCTTGTTTGTTTGTTAGATATATTAATCTGGTTTTACCATGTTTTAATGTAAGGTAGATAGTAGATGAACACATTATTAAATATAACTCACTGTACCATTTATTTAACAAATACAAAGCCAAGATTCAGAAAAGGTACATGAAAAAGTTCACTGCACGACTCAGTAACTTGTGAAATCAATTTCAGCAGCAATAACAAAGTAATTACCTTTGGTGTGACCTCATCAGTTTATCACAAGTGGAGGAATTTTGGTTCTCTCAACTTTATAACGTTGCCTTCCTTTAAAATGGTTTGCAGGCATTTGCTTATTCAAATCTTTATTAAGTTCTGTCACAGTATTTCAATGAGATTGAGGTCTGGACTTTGGGCCATTGCAGCACGTTGATTTATTTTCTCTCAGCCATTCTAATGTAAAGTTTCTGATGTGCATGAGATCAATGTCTCTTGCTTTGGTAAACTATAGAGAATTCAGACACTTTGCTTCACAACTGACACAAAGTTACTGGACAATTTTAGTTGTATATTTACTGCTTGCCTGTATTATTAATTTTCATTCACATTTATTGCCGTTCTTTACCTAAACTTTTTAAATGAATAGTAACGAAAGGTTGTTTGTTCTTGTGTGGAAAAGTAGCACTTACATTTCAATAAAATTGCTTTTATGTATTTGGTTGTTATGCCAGACCACAGGCCAGACCTTAGCTTATCAGAGCATTGAGAGGAAGCTACGGTATAATGGGTGGTCAAGGCTATTACTAGATCGTCCATCAGGTCAATAGGTCTTAAAAGTCTATTCGACCGAGTTCTTCTCAGTAATTGCTAAGGTTTAGAACCTATTAAAGTGTAGGAGGACTAAACCACAATGCCCTTTGGGATGCAGCTATTTGCTGTTTGTGAATATTAAAATTATGTCAAGTGGTGCGTTATATTAAAGCTACATCTCTAGGCAGCCAAGTGTATACAGCTATTAAAGTGCTACATATGTTTAATTGGCTAGATTTTGAGAATAAAACTTTTCAATTATACCCAAGTAATTTGGCTAAATAAAACCAATGCTGTTATTTAAAAAAATATATATAATCAGTTCAGGTTTTGTCTTCTTAACTTGTACATATTTGTTCATATTGTTAATTAAGAACTGTTCAGTTTGGCATGTTATTCAAATATTGACTAGGAAAGTTCTTTAAAAGTAGGAACATTTATCTTTGTTGGTCATCCTCTTGCTTCACATTTTGAACAGCAAAATATTGAAGCAAAACTCACACAACACTCAGTCCTCACCTACGCTTCAATCATCATTATCCCCGCTTTTAAAGGGATTGGTGAAGAAAATTACATTTCCCGTGGTCTGTGATAATGAAAATTATTCACTATCTAAAGATGGGTTCATAGCGTGAAATTGAAAATGTCTTACGTAGGAGTTGGGGATGCAGTACACTTAGCTTGAATTTGCTTTTAATATGTGAAATGCAGATGAACATTTTCCAGCTGAGGGCTTTGAAATGCTTTTACATCTTCACGAAGCCTGAAACATATTAAAAAAAAATAAATAAAAAATAAATAAATAAATAAATAAATAAATAAACAATGGATGAAGCCAAAAGGGTAATATAATGAGTAATGATCTTTTTGGATTTTGTTTGCTGTTTTACCTTTTATCTGCTTGAGCCTAATTAGGCTGACCTAAATGTTTGACTGTCTCAAATATCACAGGTGTTTCCTGTCTTGTTGTGTGCACACTTATAGCAACACTGCACAAAACAAAGGGCAACAACAACAAAAACAATCTAATCAACTTTAAGGTTAAAAAAACTAGATTAAATATTGGTATTGCCAGTTTGTAAAATAAGTCATATAGGTGACAATATGATTCTAATGCAGGCTGTGTCAAAGTTAGCGTAGAGAAATTTGCCTAAAGCATTTTGCATCTGGTTTATCATGTTCTTCTTATTACTGTTTTTCTTTTACATTTTATACTTTTGTTGGATGCAACTGGGACCTTGTGTACACAGTTTCATTCCACCTCATGTGCCGCATGTGATGCGAATGACAATTTAGAAAATATGCCAAAGTTGCTTCTATAAATGATGTAAAATATAATTAATAATTTAGTGCATTTCATACGGTGAAGAAAAGGGTGATTGATTTGTACATGCCTTCCCATTATGGCACCACTCCAAATACAGCCTCTGCTTTGGTGTTAATGGCAGCCTTCACATGGGGAGGTAAACTCTTATTCCGGCTGATGCCAGTCAACAAAACTGGGGATGACACAGGCCCTTGTTGGGCTATCCGTTATTCTAGGCTAGATAGACAGCTTTTCTTTTATTCATACTCTGTGCTCTATAACTGATGTCACGGCTGATACTTACCATTGATAACTTTTTGACAAGACATCATATCGAAGTATCCACTTAAAAAGTCTGGTACCTGGCAGGCACATATGTCATGGAGTTTTGTAGCACTTAATGTACAATGTGCAGTGATCCTCCCTTGGTTTGACTAGAACTTTAACAACATGTGTGGATGTCCTCACATACCTATTGGTTTCACATATCAGACAAATGGACAAAATGATGACATGGCTTCATGCAATTCCATAACGCAGTCCCTTTGTCATAATGCAAACTTTACTAAGTGCTGGTGATGTTATCTAATGTGTTTTCAAGGCAGGTTTTTGGTGACATTCACATGTCTTTATGACTATCTAATGCTCAGTCGCCTGATAACACTATTGCTCCACTTTAATGCCACCACTATATGTGCTCTAGTGACCATTCTAGATATGGCAGGCTTTTGCAAATCAAACAAAACCATTGTTTCTGGGTGTTTAACTTTTTTTATTTTTTTCCTGGTGAAATATGATGTTTTTAAAGTCAAGTTGAACTATGTTCTCTTCTTACAACTTTTTTTATTTTTTTCCTGGTGAAATATGATGTTTTTAAAGTCAAGTTGAACTATGTTCTCTTCTTACATCATGTAAATAGCTCTGCTTTTTTATTTACCAGTACTTTGAACACAGTTTTCATTGTCTTCCTGGCAGTTCTTTTTGATTCTTGTCATTAGTCGTCTGGGTAACAAAGCCTTGTGTCAGTCTGTCGCTATGTTATTAAATAGAGAGCCATTTACATCCAACACTGCAGACAGAGAATTGGTGAGCAGGAACTATTAGGATTGTGAAGGGGGTCATTTTCTGTGGTATTTCTACCTCTCACTGAAAAGTCAACTCTTGCTAACGACTCAGAAATTTGTAATCTGTTGTCATGGTAACTTGAAAACTGCAGTTATCCCCACAAAGTGTAGATAAATAAATATTGTTAGCCAAATGTGCTTCCTAGGCATATTCTCATTCATAAGTGCTGCGGTGGCATATTTTCAACCCACCATTCCCACGTATATGTCACCGGTAGCTTCTGAAACAGAATACATAATTTTCCATATTTAACTGCTCCTCTTGCTGCTACATTTTCTTACCCTTGTATTTTAAGGAATTCACTGCTCCAAACAAGCACTGCTTTTCTCCTTGTTACTGTTCTGCAGTAAATAATAGGCAAGGCATCAGCTGTGTGTCATTGGGATTTCACAGTTATAGAGGTTGAGTGGAAATAATTGTGGCTTGTCTGTTTTCACATAAATGATAGATGTCATTTCAGCAAAGCTTCAACTCAAGAACCCTTGTGTTTTCTGGGTTCTGCACTATTGATTTAGCCTCTTGAGTCTACACTATGACATTGTATTTTATCCGTGTAAAAATGTCTTAACTGTGGCCAGTGAAGCACACTATTTGTCAATATGTTAATTATCAGAATGTGTTGGTGTGTTTTCACGTCTGAAATAATCAGAAAGTATTTGGTAGCATTTTACATTTTATTTTATTTTTGTGGGGGAGGTGTATACATTTCAGGAAGACGTTTTTTGTTTTTTTTTCATTCAACTTTATTTATACAGATTAGTCTCATTGAGCCTCGAGGACTCATTTACAAGAGAGACCTGTTTTAAACAAAGAACACAGATGAGGTCCAGACAACAATAGACAATCATGTAAAAAGCATGTGAAATGAAAAGCAAATAGAAGAACTTATATAAAAACAAAAAACGGATGTGATGTAAAATAAAGAAAAATGTCAAAAAATGGAACATTGACGAGATTCTTTTGATCATTTATTGAAATTTTAAATCTAATTGACTGGTTCATCTCCATTTGATACACATTTGGTCACTCCACCAAAAGCTACTAAAACAATTGCATTCTTTTTTCATGGACGTATTTGTAAGAGTGTTCATTAAGCCACAACAATATATTAAATACATGTATTTAACAAACATACGGTAATTAACTATAATTAGTTATCATTATAATTAGTTTATATAATCAACTAATTAAATATAAGTACAAAAATGAAGTCTTGAAATGTTTAATTGAAACTGTTTTCCATTTTAAAATTCGAAATTGGTCTTATGGTTCTGACTAAAAACTGCAAGTGTATTACAAGAATTATGTTTGTCACGGAAGAGCTGATTTAGAGGAGACGTTGCAAAGCAAATTTTAATTTGTTCTTGTTTCTGCTGTGTAAATGCACGAAGCTCCACTCTTTCAAGGGTCCTGTTTTGTTTAGATTGCAGCAGCCAAATGCACACAGAGTGGTGAGGAAATTAAAACATGTGAGGGCTTTAGTTAGACCCGCAAGGTCAATATCATCAAAGCTTTCTTAATTAAATTACTAAATTACTCTGTGACCGGTGGCGACTTGGAGGATATTTTTGCAGATATTGTTATGAAAATATGTTCTTGTTTCATCTGAGTGACTTTGGGGCATGTTCTGTCATTCAGCATTCAAATGGAACCATAGCTTCTATATCTCCACCATTAGTTAAAATGCTTATCTCAAGAACTTAAATGCATGTGGTAAAACGTTGGACATTATTATGTTCATCTTTAAGTTTTGAGCTTTTAAGTAAAGCTAAGATTTGGATTCTTTGTGTAGTCGGAAAGAAACAAATCTTTACACCGTTAAATCAAAACAAAAAGTTTGAATTAACTCATTGATACAATTTAGTTTACACAATGAAACAGATTACCTTTTTATACCAGTGTCAGTTCAACAAATGTTTCATCGCTCACAGATGGAGCATAATGAGTTTGAGTTTTGCTGCATGAAGCAGCTCAGATCAAATCAAAATCTCGTTGAAAATTCAAATAATTTTTTTTTTTTTTAGGTAAAGTTATTAAACAGCATGGGATACATTTTCATTGTTATGCTGATGATACACAGTTATATTTGTTCATGAAACCCAATGAATCCAATCAGCTACTTAGACTACAAACTTGTCTTAAAGACATAAAAACCTGGATGACCCTAAATTTTGTTTTAAAACACAGACAAGACTGAGGTTTTGGTTTTTGGACCAGAGCATTTTAGGAATTAATTTTTCAGTCTTTCGCCCTCCTTGGATGGTATTAATCTGGCCTCCAGCTCTAATGTTAAAAATGTTTGTTATTTTTGATCAGGACATGTCTTTTATCCCCCACATTAAAAACGTTACTAGAACCTCCTTCTTCCATCTGCGTAATATCACTAAAATTAGAAACATCTTATCTAAAAATGATGCAGAAAAACTGGCCCATGCATTTGTCACGTCTAGACTGGACTATTGCAATGGTTTGTTATCTGGGTGTCCAAATACTTCTTTAAAAAATATTCAGTTGATCCAAAATGCTGCTGCCAGAGTCTTAACTGGAGTTAGTAGGAGAGATCATATTTCTCTAGTTTTAGTTTCTCTCCATTGGCTCCCTGTCAAATCCAGAAGTGAATTCAAAATCTTACTTCTAACCTACAAAGCTCTCAACAACCTTGCTCCATCTATATTATTATTATTATTGTCCCATATTTTCCTAACAGAGCACTTTGCTCTCAGACTGCAGGCTTACTTGCGGTCCCTAGAGTTTCCAAAAGCAGAATGGGAGGAAGGTCTTTCAGTTATCAGGCTCCTCTCTTGTGGAACCAACTTCCAGTTTCTGTCCATGAGGCTGACACATTGTCCAGTTTTAAGACTGGGCTTAAGACTTTCCTTTTTGATAAATCCTATAATTAGATATCCTGATGCATGCTCATATAATATAATTAGAGTTGGCTTGTTATGCTTCCATAGACTTAAACTACTGGAGGAACAAATGACCACATATCCTTAAATTAATTGTTAAAATTGAATAGTTTTCATTTGATACTATTTCTGCCTTAACATGTGATTCCTGACCTGCCATTGTGTATCTGTTCCTCCTTCCTGTTCCTGTCAAACTCAGCTGGTCGAAGCAGATGGCCACTTGTCCTGAGCCTGGTTCTGCTAAAGGTTTCTTCCTCATGAGAGAGTTTTTCCTTTCCACTGTCACCTTGGTGCTTGCTCAAGATGAGTTATGCGATGGAGTTAAATTTCAAAGCAGTCTGCTCCTCAGATAAATAGTGTTAACTTATTTTTTACATATATAAATGTTTCTGTTCGTTGCCCTGAGACTTCTGTTGTGACTTGGTGCTATATAAATAAACTGAATTGAAATCTGGTTAAAATTATGTCGTGCAAAGCCATTAATGAAAATAATCCACTCTACAGGATAATAAAGGTCACTGACAACGATAAGTGAGTAACAGAGCTTCAAATTGTTTTTTTTTTCAGGTCGCCTTGTCATAAAAGTATTTATTGTCTTGACTGACCACGTACAGCTAAACTTGCGCTCTGGCACAATGTGAACCTGTAAACCTGGCTGCTATAAGACTACATTGTCTGCATTTTTTATTGCAAAGCTTGCTTTCAAACAAATGTTAACTTTTTTTGTATTTTTTTATTTTCTCTAGCATGGGAACTTTTTTAATTTAAAGGGTACACTTAGTAGGAGTTTAATTCTTTCTTATAGAAATACTAAGACCAGTTCATATTTTCCTTCAAAATGACTGAAGCCTAAAACCTTTAGGTTTGATCAGTGTGTTTTACTTCAGTGCACTGTTTCAAACTACACATTACATGCATTATTAACGCAATCTTAGCCGCTGTAAGGTTTACTATATTTGTGGTTTTGTGCTGGATTCGTTTTTCCAGCACAGCCAGCTAACTTTTGTAGGATGTAGCTCAAAATGTGAAATTTCCAGGTCATCTGTAGGCATTCAGCAAGACATACATTTGGTCAAGCAACATATCAATTGAGTAAAGTCTAAATCGGAGCAATGACAGTTAAGTTATCTGAACCCCAAATGTTAGATAATATCCATGGTGCGTGATATTAAATGTTATTCTTTGTTGGATAATTAATATGAAAGAACAGTTTACTGTGGCTTGAACAGATGAAAATTAGTCATGAGCCCATTATTCAGAAAAATTAATTCAGTCAGATTTTCTGTAATCATCGTTTCTTGTTGCTTTTCTTGTCAAAATTAGACTTTTAAAATATGACATTTCCCTCTCGTGTCTTGAGAACCATGCTTAAGCTGCTGTCCAATTTAGAGGTTCTGAGTCATCGGTTATTGGGCAAGAAAAAAAAAAAAGAGCCAAGAATCAAAAACTATACAGTTTTATTCTCTGACAGCTCTTTGGTTTAAATAATCAAAGTAAATTAGTAATGACGTGAAGTAAATGGCTGTCGATATGAAACAACAAACATGGGGAGGTGAATGTTCTCATTGACCTTATTCAATCAAAATATGTTTTAATTGGGGGTTATTTGTCTTTTTGAGATCCAGTAATTAAATCTTTACTCGATATTGGATTTACACTTTTCATAGATCATCACTCGACTAGGATGCTCAATTGAGGTATTGATCCTTAAATAGATGCACCTTTTGATTTACAACAGTCAGAGTGGGGTGCATTAGCAGGTGTTTTGCTCGTATTAATCCAGCCTTTCTGCCACGAGAACAGACGGGAGACCTGACCCATCCGTCACTTTGCCCACTGTTTTTTTATAAAGCCATTCTGTAGAGCATCATGTTGCTAAAGATTGACAAAAGAATTGTGTTTGAGGGTTAAAAATTCGAAACCTATACTTTTCATAAATAAAACGTTAGTGTTTCTATTTATAGATATTGATAGGCAGTTAATGTGGGATCTATAAATGGCACTCAGTAGGATAATACTGTACACTCTTTGCATAGCCGGTGCTTTTCTGCACTTTTTAAAACCACCTAATGTCTGCTGAGCATCCTTTGTGCTCTCAGTTGATATCTTCTCTATCCAGCTGGCAGACAGTATCCTTATGATGCACCGCACTTGGCATATATTTCCTCGGGTTATTGAGCAGAGAGCAAAACAGGCTCTTCACATGATTGATGAGGAAATGGGATTTTAATTCAGTTACTGAGCCGTCACCCTGTGGCCATATCAGCGTGTCAGCCTTCCGTATTTGGAAAGCGGCTCTGCTGGGAACAATGCAAGACTGAAAAGACAATTTTTCACATAGCTAAAAAAATGTGTTGTGGTGATGATCTTTTAGATAACTTTTGGTCTTTTTGAAGTAGCTGTCTTGTTTCCAGTGAGAAGCCACCAATTTATTTAGTTTTTATCTTTTTGTAATTGAAGGGTAAGTTTTATTTACTAACTGAACTTTGATCTAGGACAGCTTTCTACACATACAAATGTAGTGTTTTATAATCCCCTAGTTCAGCAACAGCAGATATTAAAGATACACTGGAAGAAACTATGTAAAAGCAAGGCCTAACTTTACTCCCTGCTCCATTGTTTGTTTGTATGCTATAAAAAAAATTGCCAGAATTTTGAAATCCTGCTGCTGTTCCTCTAAAAGAAATATTCTCATATTCTACTAAGACATTTGGGTTTTTTAACAGGTTTCTTCTGCACTTGTAGATTTTTTTTTCAACAGGTCAAGAACAAGCATGTTTTTTTTTCTACCTCCAGCTATTTTGTTTTTGCCCAGATATCTGTGTTTTTTATTTAGTTTGTTCTAAAGAGGTTCTTTGAACCATAGTACGTGTGATTGATTTATTTTGTGAGTAATATAAAAACCCCACTACTACACCATGTCTTTTTGTTTATAGTGTTTTTGGAAGCCTCCTACTAAAACAAAAATCCTAATGACAAATTTGAGTAATGTGTTAAACATTAGTGACATGTCATTAATGTGTTATTACGTATTGTTTAAAAAAAATACTATATTAACTGTATTTTGAAATTTAGTTTTTTTTCTTAAACTGTGTTCATTCAATAGACTTATATTTTTAGTTTTTGGAATAAGAATACTTTTCTGAGAATAAATATTTTGGAGACCAATTAAAAAAATGGTGGCAATGCCATTTTACCTGCTCTACAATTATGTACTGTAGTCTCCTTTTCATATTCTGTCTCACTGGAATTTTTCTTATTTTATCCAGTAATGGAATAAAATTAGGGTGTGTTAAGCATTGGTAGGAATTGTTGTATCTAGTACACAAACATCTTTCATCTTCATGTTTTTGTTCAGGGAGTATCAGGTTTTAAATCTTCCTCTTGAATAAGCTGCTGCATGAAAGGAAGATTGCATTGATGTCATTACTATTACCAACCCCCAACTCCCCCCTCATTAAAGCATGTTTCCTAATTTTCAATTGAATAATTAAAACTAAGGTTTATTTATTTCCCAATTTCCAGGGCAAAATGGTGAAGGGAATGGGAGGAGCCATGGATTTGGTGGCTAGTGCTGGAACTAAAGTTGTGGTCACCATGGAGCACTCGGCTAAGGTGTGTATTTTGGTCACCCAAAAAAAAAAAACAACCTTTCATTAGGATTAGGTAATAACCCACTTAAATTAAATTGGCAATTTCCTTTTTCCAAGTGTGTTCCTTTAGTATTATGGCTGAAAAAGGATAAGTCTGTTAACAGATTGCTTAATACCTTTTTTATTGGAGCATACCCGCTCACCTTGATGAGGTATTTTGTAGAAACCGTTCTCCTTTCATTTATCTTCCGCTAATTTAAATACAAGCCAAGTGCAAACACAAAGTGGACTTGGTATTTTGGGACAATTAGATGTGCTCCAGTTAGAGATGGATTAACCCAGACGGGTTCTTTACAACTGAAAAAGCTATCAAACTGCTTTGGTTTTCTTTTAGAAAGTCCAGACCCCAATATGATGCATGAGAAGCACATCCTTCTACATTAACAGAAGCGTGCTGTTTTCTTGCTAATGGGACTCTGTCTGGCACCCAGTTACAGTGCAGATGGTGCAGCAGGTGAGCATAAATTTACTGCCCTGAAGCCTGTTTCCATTCATGACTGGGAAAGGGTAGAATGACGTATGTTGTCTTTTTCAGGCAGCATTTGAGTTGTTTTTTTTTCCTTCAAAGGGGACAGAAGAAGAAACTGAGCTACACATCTATTGAATATGCCCTAAATATCCTTTAAGATGTGCACACAGAAACACCTGAAGCCTTTGAAATAATAAAATACTAACTATGTCCTCCACAAACATTACCCAATTTAATGTAACTGACGGACTTAAGCATCCAAGTGAATTACTGACCTTATTTTACCTTACTGCTCTTTATTTCAGGGAGGAAAGCACAAAATATTGGAGAAGTGCAGCCTGCCTTTAACAGGGAAGCAATGTGTGGATCGAATCATCACAGAAAAGGTGCATTTTTATTACTTCTTCATTTACATACAATATATATATACACAAGTGTATGAGAGTCCACTTACATTTGAGTAAATGGTGAATGGATGCTGTACGTCAGTGAATGGATGAGCCATTAGTCATGAATTAGTGCCATTTACTCATGCTAGTTTAGATTTAGAGGTGGGGTTAGGTAGCTTTTTTTTTTTTTCCAAGTGGTTTATTTTGCATTGTTTTTTCTAGTAAAAAAAATCTAAATAAAAACTAAAGAAAATTCTGGGGGCAACTTTTTATGTTAAATGTAGTGTTTAACTATGCATTGACATGGTGTCATACTGTTGCAGAGCAGGGTTGGACCTACATCTTATGTGAATGTTAACAGCACAAGTTAGACCTGTATTAAATGCTTGGAGAGAAATGGATCCAGTGCAAGTTGAACAGTGGCACTAATAAAATCTGACAGTGACATGTATTTCATTTCACCACCTAGCTAATCTTTTTATATAGCGTATTAAGCTTTGCAGGTACAGCACATTTATAAAGTCTTCGTCTTCATTCTTTACACATTAAATTGAGAGTGATGTTAGAATTATATCAGCAGTTTTTTGTCATAATTGTAGACGAACAAAAGGCTTTTAGAAAAAGCATATGACAGGGTGCTGAGGGAGGAGGTGTGGTATTGCATGAGGAAATCTGGAGTGGCAGAGAAGTATGTTACACTGGTACAGGACATGCATGAGGACAGCAGGACAGTGGTGAGATGTGCATTAGGAGTGACAGATGGCTTCATGGTGGAGATGGGAGTGCATCAAGAATGGGCTCTGAGCCCCTTCTTGCTTGCTCTGGTGATGGACTGATTAACGGATGAGGTCAGGCAGGAATCCTTTAATGTTTGCAGATGACATTGTGATCTGTGGTGAGAACAGGGAACAGGTGGAAGAGAACTTGGATAGGTGAAGGTATGCACTTGAAAGAAGAAGAATGAAAGTCAGCCGTAGTAAGACAGAGTACATGTATGTGAATGAGAGGGAGGCCAGACGAATAGTGAGGCTACAAGGAACAGAGGTCACAAAGGTTCAAGGTGATTGACTTTATTGTCATTCGCATCACATGTGGTACATGAGGTGGAACGAAATTGTATACTTAAGGTATAAGTTACACCCAAAAATAGCAAAAAGATAAAGTATAAAAGAGAAAACGGTATCCAATCTAAGATATATGCTAAACAATAATAATGTAATATAATACGGTGTATTAAATGGCAGCCTCCCTGAACATGAGTCTGTTGTGAGCAGATGGGTGTGAATACAGCAGCTTAAGGTAAGAAATCAGCAGCATGGATAATCAGCAGCACAAATAATGACAAATCTCCAATAAAGTTGCATTACAGTGATTTTTCTGGTTAGGGATGAGTCTTAGTAGCTTCAGGGTAGAAGCTGCTCCTCAGTCTAATGGTTCTACACTAAATGCCTGTAGGGGAGCAGGGCAAAACGAGCGTGTGATGGGTGAGTGAAGTCCTTCATGATGCACATGGCCTTCTTCTTGCATCTGCAGGTGTAGATATCTGTGATGGTGGGAAGGCTGACTCCAACAGACTTCTGTGCAGCCTTCAACACTCTCTGCAAAGCTTTTTTCTCACCAGCTGTTCAGCCCTCGTGCAAAGGTGCAGGACTTCAAGTACTTGGAGTCCACTGTCCAGGAAAATGGGGAATGTGGTAAAGAGGTGATAAAGAGAGTCCATGCAGGATGGAAAAAAAGTTTCAGGAGTGATTTGTGACAAAAGGATGTCAGCAAAAGCCAAAGGAAAATTCTTCAAGACAGTGGTGAGATCAGGTATGTTGTATGGTCTGGAGACAGTACTAGAAGTAGCACAAATGAAGATGTTGAGGTTCTCCTTAGGAGTGACAAGGATGGATAAGATTAGGAATGAGATCATCAAAGGTACAGCACAGGTTGAACAACTGGGCGATAAAGTTAGAGAATCCAGACTGAGATGGTTTGGACATGTCCAGAGGAGAGACCGTGGGTATACTGGTAGAATTATGTTAGAAATGCAGCTGCCAGGAAAAGACAAAGAGGAGAAATATGGATGCAGTTAGAGAGATAATGGAGGTAGTTGGAGTGAGGACAGAGGATGCAGAGGACAGAGTGAGATGGAGGAGGATGACTCAATATGGCAGAGGGAAACGAAGAAGTAGACAAACAAAAGGGATTTTTATTCTAGTTTGAGGAAATTGTACAGTAACAAATGGGGTGTAACGGTACGCTAAAATCACATTTCGGTTCAGTTCAGTTTCAAGGAGGGCTCGGTTCGGTTAATTTTTGGTACAAAAAAGGCCAAAATAAAGACTTAGAAAATTCATTCATTCATTCAACTTTTATTTAAACAGATAAGTCACAAATGTTTATTTTGAAAATATGCCAAGTAAACCAGCTCAGTCATTACAGACTTCTTAGCTGGAGGTGATCTGGTGGATGAAGAAGACTCAGCTGCTGTCATCCTCAGACTGCCAACAACACAGATAAAAAAAAAAAAATTGAGTTAATACGATTATAATTTTAAATTTAAAAAGTTAATTAGACCACAATAATACATGTGGGCTGCGGTAGCTCGGTGGTCTGTGGAAGGGCATTTGGACTAAAACAATTGCCGAATCTTTATACAAGTTTGCTTGCTGTGGTGACCCCTGAGGAAAGGGAGAAGCTGGGGGGAAAAATAATTATTTATTCTTACTCAGTTTGTGCATTTTTGCAATGAGGTTAATTATTATTATTATTATTATTATTATTATTATTGGTTTTATGTCTTTATGTTTGTGAAAAACGTGCAGTAAATCTGAAAAATCTCATCTACTTCTGTACATGTGGTTAAGGTTCTTGTCTGTAGGATTGTTGCTAATGATGGTGGAAATCAAGCACATAAAAAAAAACAACAACAATTACTCTGATATGCTTCTTTTGTTATGTTCACGGTTTTGTTTTATTGCATGTATTCTCCCTCGCAAGCATATTTTTTTTGCTCACAGATATCGTTCTTTGCACTTGGCTCATGTGGACTCTGATTTTTCAGAGTGCGGCTTTTGAGACCAATTAAATGCTGCCCACAGGCTGGTAGATGAGTGCTGGTTCCCATCTTTCATTTGTAAAGTGGAGACCTCGGGGTAAGCCTTCGTTAGGCAGAACAACTTCATTATTTGTGACCCTTGATGTCAAATAAAGAAAATGAGGATGTAGGAGTTCAGACTGTAGAATGCAAGCAGACAGAATAGAGGTAAGAATACTCACTGGGTCAAAAATGATGGTTTAAGAGATTTAGAGCTAAAACCCAGTAGTCCGTAGACTTTGACGCTGATGTTATTTTGTATGCGCTCTAGTTTTTGCCTTTAGAACTTGTTCACTGAAAGCATGACCTGTCGGGGCTGGGGAAGTCAGAAACTGTCCATGCGCCCCCGACCATTCACCCCCAGCCCACTCGTTCCTTTCTGCTCAACTAGCTTTTGTTGTGATTGCACAACTTTTCTCAGCAAGCAGTTTTCTGTTAACATTTCTAAAGGTTAAAGCCACTGTGCAGCCTTGTGAAGCCCTAGTACCACCACCTCCTCTCCATCTTTCTCGTTTTAACTTCTGCAGCCTCTTTCCTCTCATAAACATCTTGAATACATGCCCAGTACTTCTGTCCAAGTGAAACAAATTCTCACAGTCCATAATTTATGACCTAATTTTCTTCTTCTTCATAGCATATTTTCTTATTTCATTGTCCTTTTGAATCATACTACCCCCACACTCTGTTTTACAAATTATTCATCAGATACTTTGTCTCTTGTGCGTCAAATAAATTTGAAAATCTTTTTGCTTTCATGCATAATAAACTGGCTTTGTCTGGACTAAAATGTGAGTGGTTTGGAGGCAGTGTTTGACAATTCCAGTTTGTCTTTGTAGTCTGGGTCTAGAAAAAATGAACTTTTCAGAAATTCTGACATGCGACTGTCAGCTTGTCATCCTCTCAGATACTTGGCAGCGATGTCAAGAGGGCACCTTTTAGTCACTGGGAGTTGCTTAATGTGATTGTTTGTTTTGAAAATCAATATGTCCTGCATATAAAATGTGTTTCAATGACTTATGCTCCTATTTCTGATGTCAAATAACTGAATGAAATGTTATTTGAAAGACGATGTCGGTGGAGCAATTTCTGAACTACTGTTTTCTCGATTTTCAGGACATCAGTAAAGAAATTAATCAAAAGATCAGTTTTAGTAATCCTTTATGTTTTGCTAATTTTGATAGAAAAATGTGTTTCTGTTCCTCTTACTTGTTTGATAACGGATGTTGACATTTATATGAGAACATTTAATATAGTTACTACTTGTGAGGCTTTTCTTAATGTTTTTTTTTTTTGTTATTTTCTCAACTAGTGTTGCTGCACATACTTATTGGATGTGCAAACTATTGTGCCACTAATCATCTGAGTCTGCCAGGACCTGATCCATCTCGCTAACCAAAAGGTCAAAGCTTGCTCATACTGACACACGCTTTTCTCCCTTTAAAAGATGTTTGCTTTTGCATTCTCTAATTATTACTGTTAGCAGATGTTGCCTAGTTGGTAAATGATGCACTATGTAATGTTAACGTTAAATACTGCATATTGCTTTACATTTGTTTGATCACTATCAAACAAATACTTAATTATCATTTAATAAGCTGCTTAGAAAAACCTTGATTTGCTTTAGTATTAACTCCTCAATAGGTCCTTTTGAGAGTACTGTTAGTTTGACTCCAACATGAAAACCAAGCTAATAGCACTACTGGCAGGTAAGATGATTACTACTTTATCTGAACATACTTAAAAGCCGAATTCATATTTTAAAATTAGTTAAAGATGGTTTATTTGGACCAATACTGATGAGGCTGTCTCCCTCCATCATCTAAGATCTCTTCAAACTTTCTTGACTTTTGATGACACCAATGAAAGTGAAAACATTACTTTATTAATGAGTCAGAGTCAGATAGAGTCAGATTAT